TATATATATATATATATATATATATATATATTCGTATGAACTTTACACATTGCAGTTTTTACATGAAGAAAAAGGAAGAAAAAAGTGACAATAATAATAAATAAGTAAGTAAAAAATAAGTAAACGCTGACAGAACATAAAAAATTCAAATTATTAAATTAAAGTCGAAGGTTACATCCTCGAAGCCAATTTCTCGCCTTGGGAGTAACTTGGTGGATTTCGTGAAGGCTGCCAAAGAACTTGGTGGCTGGACACTTAAAGACGATGTGGTTTATTGTTTGTTCAGCAGCGCTGTATTTGTCACATTCCGGGCTGACATTTATACCCCATTGATTCAGCGATTTGTTACAAATTCCATGACCAACTCGTATTCTAGTTAGGTTGCACCATTCACAACGGGGAAGAGAAAAACCGTCTGGTTTGATTGTGGGATTTTCTATCAGATTAGAATTTCTGATGTCTGGATTCCATTCGCCCATCCAGTGCTCTTCCGAAATAAAAACAGCCAATTTTTTAGCAGTTCTAGTAGGTGGATGTCTGGATTTTAGTCTTAACTGTCTTTGGTGTAGTTCAGCGATGTCTGTGTTTATCGGTAGTTCTGGGTTTTGTTGGCATTTTTGAACTAGAGTGTTGAGTGCGGCTAGTAGTCTTATTGCCGGTGGAGCGATGTTGCTTAAAACTGGAAGCCATTGGGTTGGTGTGGGCTTTAGTGTTCCCGTTATTATTATATTCCCGTTATATTTTACTGATAGAAGTAATAATAAATAACTACTGGAGAGGGTTGGTAAAATAACAGAACTAATCACCACTATACAATCCAGAAAACTGTAATATCTAGGCTACGTGATTAGACCAAAATATGAAATTTTGAGACTCATAACCCAGGGACAGATTCAAGGAAGAAGATCTGTTGGCCGAAAGCAGAACTCATGGTTAAAGAAACTACGTGATTGGTATCAATGCAGATCGATTGATTTGGTTGGAGCAGCAAGTTCAAAAATAAAAATATCCATTATTATTGCCACCCTCTGTAGGGAGAAGGCACTTTAAGAAAAAGAAGGCATTGCAAAGTTTGTTTCTTAGAAATTATAGTCTAAAAAGCTATCTAAATGACTTATTAATATTTAGCTCAGTGTGGTGCTCTTTTTTAAAATGTGAAATTACATAAATAAAAGATCATTTTATGAAATAGTAAATCCCTTGTTTATGAAATTTCTCGCCTCAGAACAATAGCACCTAGCTCAGCTGAATATTCACTAATCTTTTAAATAACTTGTTAGTTAAACTATACTGTAATTTACTATTTTCTATTGATTCGCAAGGAGTAAAAAATCGCATAAATCACAATTTTCCATTCTTCAACGGCATTTTTAGCGAAAACTATTAACTTTTAAACAAAAAATTCAAAAAATACCTTTTTTGTCTAGAATAGGTCAAAATATCCAAAAAATAATAATTTGGTCTCAAAAAAGTTAAAATTGTTTGTTTAAACAACATTTTACCAAGCTGTCGCCTAAAGACTACCATCATAATAAGCGAGGCTTCCCCAAAATAATTATGCAAAAAAATGAGAGTATACTTTTGGGGCTAATCTGTGCGCCAAATTCTCCTGGTCTAAGTATGTGTAAAAATCTAATTTGAATTCAACTGCAATTACTGTAATGAAATACAAAATTAAGTTCATTGTAGAAAAGAGGACATAAAAATTACATTTTATTAGTCTAAGAAGCCCTACTTAGCTAAGTAGCGGGTTTATTAGTTACGAAGGACAAAATAGTTGTCATGGAAGATATAAACGCTCAGATAAGAAAAGAGATATATTTAAAAGACATCGTAGGCAATTGCAGAGGAAAAATACATATGAAAATGGTGATCGAATTCGTCAACTAACAGGAATACTGAATATGAATTTCCTAACAACAAAATTTAAATATCCCAGAAAACACAAAGTCACAAGAAGACAACCAGCTGGAATAGTCGAAAACCACATTAAGAATTGAAGGAAAGGAAATTGAAAACAACCGATACCAGATCCTACAAAGGCGCTAGTACGGATACGGATCATTATTTATTTGTGGCAAAATTTTAAAATTCTGACCAAAAGATATGAGATAAAACATAAGGCGGGTTGGAATATAGATTAACTAAATAACTAAACTAACAAAAAGAACAAAATTCGAAGGTACAGTCTCAAAAAAAAACAAAATCAATAATAAAACAGATCTGAAATAATCGAAAAATGAAGTAAAGTTAAAGAAGCGATAGCAGATATTACAGAAGAGATTAAAAAAACACAATAAATAAATATAAAAGCATGGTTTTGCTAGGAGAAGGAAGACTCAGGAATTAAAAAAAAATCTCATCACTGAGACTGACCGGAGAGAATACGAAATAGCAAGAAATCATGCAAATTCTATTTACAAGAGAAAAAGAACGAGTGGTTAACCTAACAACTAAAAGAAATAGAGCAAGGCGTACGCCAAATTAAAAGAATTCTATAAAAAGATCAAATTATTCAATCAAAAGTGAACATGACCCCATATGATGTGAAAAATGTAAAACGAATATTTCTGCTTAATCTTAAACAGAGTGTAGACAATAAAATAATTAAAGGAAGTGATAAGGAGAAAGAACAGGAGGAGAACAAGGTAATAATAGAATGCTACAAAGAAGCTAAAATAACAAAAGAAATAAATGTGGCAAAAAATGGAAAATCTGCAGAAGAGGACAAAATAGTGATAAAACCGATAAAGTACGGCGATAAGCTCCTACATACATAAAATTTAGAAGTTGATAAAGCTAAAAAGGAATGAAATGCTTTTAGAGAGGACAACCGGACTAATTACACCAATCCACAAAAAAAGCAGATAAGCCCTAATAAACCAAAGCAAAATCAGAGAAAATATTTGGTAAAACAAATAATTCAGAAATCTAGAAGACTATAAAAGTGATTTCCGCATAATTTTAAACGACTTCAGGAGTGCATTTGACAGTATAGACAGACCAAATATAAAAATGGCTATAAAGGCAATAGATATACTAACCAAAATAATAGAACAACACAAAATGTGTTTAAGTAACTCCAAAAAAATCAATTTTAGGGAGTAGCTTCTTAAGAATTCGAATTCAAAGAATCATTAATAGGGTGAAGCAAGGCGATTCAATGTCTTCCACACTGATTAATCTGATTTTATAATAACTGATGAGAGCAGTAAAATAGAATGAAAAGAATATAATACTGAATGAAATTTAAGTATTTCATGTGCAGATGACCTAACACTAGCAACAACAAAAAAGCCTAATAAGGACCATAAACAGACTAGATAGAGAGGCACAAAAAATGACATTAGTAATTAATTAAGACAAAATTAAATGCATTAGATGGGACAGAGAAGAGGAAAGCGCTCCCATAATATCCAGAGTTCACCAATTGGAAGAAGTAAACAACTTTAACTACTCAGGAGTGGCAATAGGATATGGCAAAGTGCACAGGTTAGAAGAGAGAATTCAAAATAGAATTCAAAAACTTGCAGAAGGAACAAACTTAAATCCAAAATAGTAGCCGACAGACCAATATCAGACTGTACAGTACATTGATCAGACCAGTAATAACTTACGAAATCTAAACAATGACATTAACAAAAAAAGGACCTAAGCGACTTTAAAATATTGGAAACAAAAATAATTCTTAATCAATCAATCCAGATCAATCCTTGGACCAAAGATCACTAATGAAGAAGAACCATAGTAAAACATATAAAAACAAGGCTACTAGAATGGGTGTGACACATAGTGAGGAGAACACCATCAGAAATGATAAAAAAATTATAAGATGGATTCCATTTGGGCCAAGAAATAGAGGAAGACGTAGAAAGGGATAGTGGGATCAGATAAAAGAGGACATAAATACAATGGACGTAACAAACTAGAAGACAAAATGCAGAACTGGAAAAAAATGGAAAAAAAACAAAGTAGCAAATATTAATAGTGATTTATAATTAATAAATAAATATGAGTAATCTCGTCAAAACAGGATTGATATATGCCTCTGATATTGTTATAATTTTACAGGATTGAACGGTTATGATAATTATGATGATGATATGTATATATGTTGTTAATGACTTAAGAGGTTGATGCGACTCTCTTTGTAAAATAAAAAATTTAATTTATTTGTAAATTCAGACTAACACTGAGGAAGTTTAAGTATGCATCTTTGTTAAACAAGAAAATTAGACTATCTCAGGCATATTACACGTGGAGAAAAATACATCTATATGGAGCGGAAGTATGACCAATGATAACAACAAATAAGAACAGTTGAACTGGACTTTATGAGAAGATGTCTACAAATCACAAGAACGGATAGAATAAGAACGAAGGAAATATTAAACAGAATGGAAGTAGAATGCTCAATTACAAAAAAGTTGGAAAACAGAGCCCTGCAATGGTACGGGCATGTACAAAGAATGCCAGAGTATAGGTGGCCATAAAGAATATTAAACTGGGACCCGCCGGGAAGAAGACGGAGAGGAAGACCTGCTACAAGATGGAAAACATACGTCGGAAATGCTATGATAGATAGAGACCTCAGAGAAGGTTACTGGGAGAATGGAGTACTGTGGAGGACGAAAACGGCGAACTCGTATTGAGAAAAGCCGAAAAAGAAGAAGAAGAAAAAATAAATATACATTGCTCCAACTGATTATGCAGGGAAAGATCCAAGGAAAGAGAAGCATAGGGAGATGTATAATATCATAGCAGCGCAACCTGAAAGTGTGGTACGGATATACATCAAATGAACTTTTCAGAGCAGCTGTCTCAAAAGTCCGAATCGCTATGATGATTGCCGACCTCCGCCGCGGAGATGGCACTTGAAGAAGAATTAAATTACTGTCGATTTCCACAAAATATAAGATAATATAACAATTAAATAATATTTAAATTTAAAATATCAATTAATATCAAATTGTATTTTTATAAATAAAATACTATTTTACCTGATATGCATCTATTGTAAATTCATTATGGGCCTTAACAACGCTCTCCGTTTGATCATATTCGTAAGCATTAGAACCAAAAATTGATGCATATACTATAACAATTATTAAATCGTAACGCATCTTTCCAATTTGATGTTCACAGTTGATCACACGGTATGGTTTGTAGTCCGCTGACGGTAAAGTTCTATTAAGAAATCAGTTTCTTGTCAATATCGCTAGGATATAACTTTTATTTCATATATTCGTTATCAGAGGAATACGCAACATTTTAAAGCATACAATTTTACCGGTGTTAAAATAACTTTCATTTATAGTTTTTATATAAAGCATTGTTTTAAATAAAACACCAGTAAATTGTTATAGTTTTAAAAAATCATCAAATTTTTCATTAAGATCATCATCAATAAAATAATAAATTGTATATATTTCAATGAGCGTATAACAAACCTAATTATATGCTATGGACATGACGAAGATGCCACAAAAAATAAAGAGAATGAGTTCACAACCTATAAAATTTCTATCTACACCTTCTTTCCCTTTCCATTCTGCCCAACAGAAATATGGAGAAAACCATACGCAAAAAATCCGTAAGTTAAGGTGGCAACTATCGTGCTAAAAGCTGAATGGTCTCACGTTACGCGGTCGCTAACGATCGCGATGTTCTTGGGACACGGCGAAATCTCATTGAATATCAGCCTTGTCCCTTTACGCAAGGCTCTACAGAAATCGACCAATGTTTCTCAGCTTTTCGAGAATATAAATATGATTACTCATTAACATGCAAAGTGTAAACCAATCCTACTCAAAGGGGGTCAAAAGATAAACCCCAGCATCGCCCCATACAACACTCGATCACTCTGGAAGAGGGAAGATTCGAAGAAATGGAGGAAGAACTCTTAAAAGTAAATTGGGATATTGTAGGTATCAGTGAAGTAAGAAAAAAGGAAGAGAGTCTTACTACACTCCCATCAGGTCATTTATGTTACCACAAAAGAGAAGAAGAATCGACAGTCGAAAGTGTCGGTTTCTTTTATTCATTCAAAATAATTGCCAACATAGTTGTGTCAATAAAACAAATCTTAAGAAGGGTGCTCTACTTTGTAACGAAATATTTTGCCTACCGCACATAGGGTATTACTATAAGGGGTAAAAAAATGAAAACATAAATTATTGAAGTGGAGATAGGGCAAGTAAAATAAACGAAACTTATGAGAACGGCACTCAGAGTTTATTTGGAGTAGCTAGATAGTGGATAAGTAAATGGCTAGGGGGTTAAATTGGGACAACTACAAAAATGAAACAAAGGGGTACTTACATGAATCTTCTGGACAAATGGACAAAACAAAACAAAAGAAAGACCTCTAGCAGTTTAAAATTGATGCTGCGTCAAGGTGCCAAATTATAACAGTTACATCAACTAGTTGTAACTATTGAAATAATACTTATATGAATAAGTGAATAATACTGAAATGAAAAATATATCTTTTTAAATGAAACTCAAAAAGGAGTTAGAGAGTTAGTTAAGAGAAATAAAATGGTTTACGAAAAAAATTGAATATTTATTGTTGTCTCAACACACACAACTACAAAAATAGACAATACAAAAAAATTACTATATAAATAGTTACATTATAGGTGGGAGTTACTACAAAACTTACAAATGTTACTGCATGGAGGTTAACCTTTCATGAAGGTCTTTAAAAACAAAAAATCTTAAATATGATTAGGTATTTATATCAGATGTCAAAAATAATAAAGCTAGATGTCATATATTAACATTAAATTTTAAAACAGAACAATTAAAATGACAGCTAAGTCACGTCCTAAGACATATAATTTTAATTATCACAATTTCTTTACATTATGAAATTAATTATTAATAAAAAATTGTCTATTTTTACTTCAAAAGTTCAAACAAAAGACTTGTTCAAGTTTCACTAAACTACTTTAAATTTTCTGTAACTGGAATTCACTACAATTTCTGGGGATAGAACTGGGCTTCACTGGAATTTTCAGGGGTAGAAACTGGACTTAAACTCTCTGCGTAATAAACTTATGAACAAATACATCTCCAAACTGCCAAAAAGACTGGAATGACAACCAGGGAGAAACAAAACGAGTATGGAAACAACGGTTCTTTCAAACCCCACTTAAACTGCAACTGCACATTGAACTGCTACTATACACTACATATTTTCCATGAAAAGGGACAAAAAACAAGAAACATTACGAATTTGAAGTAAAATTCGGAGTGATGGTGTAAGCAACTGCTTTTGACAAACGCCTTAGCGAGAGTGATGTAAATATTAAAAATCATTCGCTTTCCAACTTAATATAAACAAAACATATAACCGGAATAATTAATTGAAAGGCAGAATATTCTAAAAGTGGCTTTCGATTAAAAGAATGCCGAGAAAATACGCATCTGTTAAATGTAAACAAACTTTTAAAACGTGTTTATATCAACTTGGCGACGCAAAAGGGATCGAAATATATTTCTGGTATTTTAACTTTTAAGATAGGAATTTGAAATACACAAAAAATATTCTTCGTTATTTTAATATAGGGTAACGACGGGTAATTACGAACACTTAAGGAAAATAATTGTTTATTTGAAATATAAAAATGTTGAAAACTCGGAAACCACTACAGTGGCTAACAGTAATACAGCTATTAATTTTTGTTATTGGATAATCAAAAATAAAAATTTTAATAATAAAAAAACTCAATTAAAAATTTTCACGAAATGTTCGCTGTTACCCGAAATGTCGGATAATAATAAACATAAGAAGGGTAATGGCAAACAGTATTACCTATTAACAAAAATCACATTTATAGTTGTCCGGTGTGTCCGAGCCGCTGCATAATTTATGCACCCATCCACCGCATATAATGCAACGGAACCAAAGTTCGCTTTTCCCGAACTCACCACAAATTAAACAAGATTCTCCTTCATTACAATCGTCCGTATTAATATCGTCATTTCCATCAGATTCATCATCTTTATATGATGTCGAATCTTCCTCATGGACTCTCACAGACGCCACCTGCAAGAAAATTAAGGCTTTTGAAATGTGGCTTTATCGTCGCATCCTGAAGATATCGTATACCGACCACATTACTAATGAGGGTATAACAAATATTTATTTTTTATTTTTGTTTTAGTTATCAGCAATGTCCCGACCAAAAAAAGTAAGATTCGGCGACCCTAATTTTGAAAAAATGCTAATGCAATGGAACAATGAAATAGAGAATGAACAGGAGCCGAATATAGATGGTAGTTATGACGACAGCTGCTCAGATGATCATATTGTTAACAATATGTATCTGATGATGTTGTAGAACAAGAATGTACCATGTCTGAACAAGAATCGGAACAAGACTGTGATGAAGTGGTTCAAGGGGAAGAAGATGAAGAAAAAATAATTTCAAAATACTATCTCGGCAAAGACAAAAAAACAAAGTGGAGTAAGATGTGTCCTGCGCCTACTTCAAGAACTCGTGCAACAAATATTGTTTTGAAGTTACCAGGACCAATAACAGAAACTCGAAACGCAAAAACACAGTTTGAATGCTTCAAATGTATGCTAGATGATAATATAATCAAAGAAGTTACGTGTTGTACCAACATTTATATTGAGAAGGTAAGAGCAAATTTCCAATGCTACAGAGATGCTAAAATGACCAACGTCGAGGAGATTTGGAGACTTATTGGTATATTCTTTTTAGCAGGTGTTCTAAAATCTGAAAGACTAAATGTTTTGCAAATGAGGGATAATAAGAAAGGTACTGATCATGGTACAACGAAAAGAAGGTATGATCGATAGCGTGCTAAATTTCGTCTGTTCTGCGCAGTGACGTCATGTGGAGAGGTACATTCTTAAAGTACATGGAAGGACTGCTTAATTCCATCACTTTAATATTTTATTATTTATAATTTATTGTTTTTATTATTATTATTTTTTAAACCACTTTATGAGAAATCTGATATTTCGTGTCGGATTAAGCGTTTCTGGGACCGGGAGCTAAATAGCAAAGATTGTTAATCCGGTTCCAGCAATATTAATTGAAGGCTTTGGTCAACTTTAGTATTTAAAACTATTTAATGTAAGTCTGCTGAAATTAAAAATAAAAATTCTTTTATTTGTGGTTATAGCATGATTTTATTTCGTTTATAATACAAATAAGGAAGAGTAGTTTTTTTGTATCATATATTTACATTTCACTGATATTTAAAATTAGGCAGAAATTAAACGTATCAATAATTTTAAATGATACATAGTTTATTAAAATAAGTCCATACAATTCACAAAAATATGAGGGGTAAAAACATATTTTTTTAAGCCCTTTTCTCTATTCGAATTGCCGAATATAGGCATCTCCTAATTCTCGCCATTCATCACTGTTGTTTGTAAGGCGTTTCCACATTGGCCCTGTAGTTCTTTTTAATATAGTCGCTCCATCGCATTTGCGGTCTTCCTCGTGGTCTTTTCGCTTCATATGGCCGCCAATTTCCGATTTCTTTATTTTATCGGCCATACGTAAGACGTTCGTTATGTCCAGCCCATTTTCATTTCAGCTTTGCTGCCTGTTCGACAGCATCTTTTACTTTTGTTCTATTACGAATGTCTTCATTCGTTTTATGGTCTTTGAGTGAGATACCCAGCATCTGTTGTTCCATAGCTCACTGAGTTTTTCTGGTCTTCTCCATGTTTATTTTAGTGAATGTCCAAGTTTGAACTCCATATGTAAGTACAGGTAGGATACAGGAATTAAACACTTTGGTCGCAGTCTTTGAGATATATTTTTATTTTTTAATACGTATGAGAGTCTTTTATTTATAAAAGTTCATTTATTTCAGCATTCAACCTTATATCAATTTAAAGCATAATAAACTGTTCTTAAAGTACAAACAGATAGTCTCAAACAGTTGCGAATGATAAAGCCTAAAGTGTTTAATGAATTAATTGTTACAATGAATTAATCATTTATATGTTGTACAAAACGAAACTGTTCATCAAATGTAACTCCTAAGTATTTTATTGCTTTTACATAAGACTATTAATTATCATTAATTGTATAAGAAGTATCATATTTTTTAATACATCTATCTATCTTTAATACATCTATCTATTTAAGCACTGCATTTTCTTTTAAAAGACGGTGATTTTTAAAAAAAACTCCCATAAG